AGAGGGAATTGCTTGAGCTGTCTTTAAGAAGGACAGAGTGTGCCCAGGAGTGGGGTGGGAAGCTGGGTCGGAGGAAGAAAGATTGGGAAATGAGAGGGAATGGGTGTTGGGAAGGTGTCTGGGAGGAGGGGGTATGTTTACCCAGCCTTGAGAGGTGTCTGCGGCCTGCTAACCGTGCTTACTCAGTTTGGGTTTGAGATCTTCCTCCTTCCTCCAATCCTAGACCTTGGCCTAAACTACCACATGCGCACATGGAGAAGGATAACTTCCTTTTCAGGTGTGGTTTTGAGGTACAGTTGTGATTTTTTGTTATTGTTGCTGTTGGCAGACGTGCTTTCAGCTGCTCCTCCAGGAAGCTTGCTTTGAATGCATTTCCTCTGGAAGTTGCTTTTCATGAGGCTAATATAATGAAGAAATTGGGCAGAGAGGAGATTTGGGGAGGGGGTGCTGAGGACCCCCAAAGGCACAGAAGGCAGCTGCTTGGCTGAGCCCTGCACTTCCAGTTTGCTGGCTTCAGGAGCTAGCAGCTGCCTGTTCTCAGCAGCCCCGTGAGTGGGCCGCGGTGCCCACTGCCTCTTCCACCCCGGGAGGTGGGAGGTATGGCCCAGACATTGCTTCCTCACTGTAGTGCAAATATCAGACTCTGGGGCCGGCTGCCCGGATGTGCTGGTATTTTCCAAACGGTGAATCAGTGCCAGCTTCTGTTTCTGCAAAACTCAGACAGGCAACATGGGGCTTCAAAAAATGGACAGCGTACAAAATCTGGCCAGACGCCAGTCTTCTGTTTATTTCTTGTCCTTGTGTATTTGGTGGCACAAGCTAATCACCTTGAGACTTGGATGAAAACTGTTGCCTCCTGGGCTTTTTCAAGGGTGCTAGGTGGCTGCTTGAGAGAGGAGGCCAGAGACGCTCGCCCCCCAATCTAACTTTGGGATTCGAGAACCTAGATGAAATAGCTAGGAAAAACAAAAGCCTTCCCCCACCCCCCGCCCCACCCCCTGTTATCTAAAGGCTACCAAAATGATGGCAGAAGTTGTCTAGCATTTCATTCTGCTTCCCTGGAGAACCTCTGATAGTCTCGCTCTGCTCTTCACTCCCTCTTGTCTCCAGGCCAGCACTTTGCTCCTCTCTTAAAGGACGGACTCTCCACTTTCAGGATCTCTGCACATGTGACTTGTATGACCCCTTGCTCCTTAACCATCCCTAAATAGTTCATGTAGATGAACAGGAATGGTATAAGGGAGAATAAAAGAAGCAATGAAAAAACACTTTCTCTGTGGTGGGTAAGGGGTTGAGATTTCTTTCTTTCTCTTCTTTCTTTCTTTCTTTCTTTTTCTTTCTTTCTTTCTTTCAGATTTTATTTATTTATTTGTCAGAGAGAGAGAGAGAGAGCACAAGCAGGGGGAGTAGCAGGTGGAAGGAGAAGCAGGCTCCCCGCTGAGCAGGGAGCCTGATGTGGGGCTCGATCCCAGGACCCTGGGATCATGACCTGAGCCAAAGGCAGACGCTTAATGACTGAGCCACCCAGGTGCCCCAGGGGTTGAGATCTCTTGATCTCTGATGTTTTGTACAGACATAGTCTGCTAGTTCCTGGCCAGACCTGTGAGGGTGGCCCTAATGCTTCTTTCTGACCCGAGAGAGTCGTGGGGAGACCTGCTAGGCGTGTGGGCCTGGGCAGCCACAGGTGGGGGTCACCATTAGGTACAGATGTGGAGAACAGCTTACACAGAGATTGGAAAACACTCCCATCTTTATTTCCTTCAGTGTTTTATGTCCTTTTTGCTATTTTTCTGTTGTCTATTTCGATACTAGATGAAATCTAGGGCCTCCCTCTGCTGTGCTTATTACATGGCTGTAATACCTGATTTCCAATAAAAATGAGATTATCAAACCAGACTTTATATTATTTTCCTTAATAAACAGGAAAGATTGTTACCATATTTTTGACTTGATGGAACAGCATGAATCATGATGCATATATTTCTCATTAAAACTTTTAAAGCACTTAAATGAATGCCCTCTGTGTTATTTTTTATTACAGTTTTATTCATTTGTCTAGGGCACACAGATCAATGAACCCACATGGTGAGTTTGATAGGAATTGGCTGGCAGGAGAGTTGGTGATGCTTGAAGAAGAGGCCTAGGCTTTTCTATCCCAGACTAGCATTTCTTAGCTTATAATAATAGTGCTAGTTGCGATGTATTGATCTTAACTGGGTCCTGGCTACCCATACTTCATGTAACATCACATTTAATCTCTACAGCAACTCCATGAAATAGGTACTGTTATCATCTTCATTTTCCTGATGGGAAAATTGAAGCTTAGATCCCCCCCATTGCTCTAAAGGAGGGTTGGCAAACTTTTTCTATAAAATACCGGAAAGTAAATGTTTTAGGCTTTTGGGCCATACTGTCTCTGTTGCCACTACCCAGCTCTGCTGTTGTAATGCTAGAGAAGCCATAAAAAAATACAAAAACAAACAGGGGTGGCTGTGTTCCAGTAAAACCTCATTTATGGACTCCAATATTTGAATTTTGTATAATTTTCTTATATCACAAAATATTATTTAAAAGTTATTTTCCAGGAGCGCCTGGGTGGCTCAGACAGTTAAGCATCCAACTCTTGATTTCAGCTCAGGTCATGATCTCAGGGTTGTGAGATTGAGCCCCGAGTCAGGCTCCATGCTGGGTGTGGTGCCTGCTTAAGATTCTCCCTCTTCATCTGCCCCTCCCCCTGCTCGTGTGCACGCAGGTACTCTCTCTCTCTCAAAAAAATTGTTTTCCAACCATGAAAAAATAGAAAAACATTCTTCACTTGGAGGCTGTACAAAAACAGGTGGTAGTCCAGATTTGCCCACCCTAGTGTAGATAAGCATAAGCAGGAAAGGAGGAATGGGTTAGGATGGGCTGGTGGGAGTCATACTCTTGCCAGAGGGAAGAGCATGTGTGCAGGGAACACAGAGCAGGAAGTCTCCAAGGAACTGCAAGAAATGCAAGCATGGTTTGATAGGGTATGAGGCAAGATAAGAGGAGACACTAAGACCTAAGTCATGACCTTGTGGGACCTTTCAAAGATTTTGGACTTTGTCCTTAGAGCAATGGGAAGCCATTAAAAATATTAAGCAAAGGAATGAAAAGGACAATTTTTTTTAAAATAACTGGCTGATAGGTGAAGAGTGGATTACAATTGGTCAGTAAGAGTAGAAGCAGAAAAACCAGTGAGGCAGCTTGAGAAGGGGGCCAGGTGGGTGATGATGGTGTCTACTAGTGACTGTAGCCAGAACCATTTCCTGGCAACATATCAAACTGAAGTAGAGCAAATATGAAGAGCCTGGTCTTCCAGCTTCAAATCTAGTATCTTCCCTGCATGGTGTGAAAGTCTTAAAATTCTCAAATGCACATTATGTTTATCTGAATCTGCCATTTATCTCTGAACCCTACAACTGAAGAGCTACTCTTCTCTCACAGACACAATTCTTTCTTTCTGGAGGAAGTGCTCATAAACAAGCATAGTGTTTCTTAGGTTTGAGTTATTAATTTTCATTTCCTGAGGAAATTTATTTCATCAAGGGAAATAATCTCTTATTCAAATAATAAAAAGACCAAAGATAATACTGTGGTAATGGTTTTATGTTATTTTTGTGCTGGTGTTAGAAAGACTACTGAATACTTCCTTGAAGGTCAGCTTTTCTTAAAATTTGTATAGCTTTCTTTTCCAAATCAGAAACAGTACATTCTCTTCTCCCTTTGAAGGAATGATTTGTCTGGCTGGGCAGTCACAGTAACACTCCAGTTCTGATACTAGCCTCTATCTCTGGATCAGAGCACACTATCTTTTGAACAATATGATACTGAGGGGTTAGAGTCTGTTTCTGTGGGGTCCAGGACTGGGGATTAGGGAAGAAAGGAAAAGGGAAAGATGAGATTTATGCCTTGGGGCAGAGGGGTGATGGTGATGGTGATTTTGCCTCAACCTCTCTGGGGGTTGGGCCCTAGAGGCAGCAGTGGGTGATACTGACCCAAGGTGGGTAGAAGAAGGGGAATTTCAGAAAGTTCTTAGGGGTGAGACCCAGTGGTTGTGACTTCTCAGAGAATCTTGGTTTTGGCTGATCTTTCATTCAAATTTTTCCTTATATTACTGCTATTTGTTACTTTGTATTCTTTCCCCAATATAAAGCAAGGTCTGTAGGGTCTGTACTTGTATCTCAAGCATCTTCTTCCATCTCATAATGTACAGTGTCTTGCACACAGTAGATGCTCAATATTGAATACTGGCTCGGTTGATTTGTCACCTTTGGCATCCATGCTGTGCAGTGCAACCTCTTGTTTCAAAGAAGTCAGAGTTTTTAAGTCTAAAATCATCACAAAGTAGACACTCGAGACATCCTGAGAATAGGACAAATTTTAGGAGTAAGCAGTAGGCAAGATTCAGGCTTCCACTGAGGATCTTCTCCCATTATGGGGCTTTCGTTGACCTCTTTTCTTTTTGCCACCCCACTTCATTAGCCTTTGGATGCTTCTCTTTATTTTTGCACAGCAGGTGCTCCATATATGTATACTGTGCAAGTTCACTTCTGGTACTGATTTTATTTATTCTCTGTAGACTCTTTGCATATTCACACAGGTATAGGTGGTGGAGCTGAAGTTGTAAGCTCAGAGGCTTTGATATACTCTCTCCCTTCTTCTCTTCATTTATCAGTTATTGAAAGTTGGTTATGTGCCAGGCACTGGGTTAAGTCCTGAGGGACAGCAACAAAAGAAGACATGGTGTCTGATTTTAAAAAAACATTCCAGTCTAGCAGAGAGATAAAAGGAAACAATGGCCACTTGGTGCGAAGTATAGGCAGTGATTGAGGACCTCTCCCTGACCTAGTGGATGGGACCTCACTGATGCCTTTGCCTTCTGAACTTCTGAATGTGGTCAAGAGCAGGTAGAGTATCTGTGCAGTTGAGGATGAATTAACAGGCTCTACACTTGCCTTTCTCCATTTGTGCAGGGTGAAGATGTCTGCCCAGAGATTAATCTCTAACAGAACGTCCCAGCAATCTGCACCTAATTCTGATTACACCTGGGAATATGAATATTATGAGATTGGACCAGTTTCCTTTGAAGGACTGAAGGCTAATAAATGTAAGTCTTATACAATTCCCCACTGTAAATATAATGTATTTATCTTAACCTGTGAAATCCCCAGTGATTAATTTTCCTGAACATCCTTTTTACACAACTCTGTTCTGTATCCTCCAAGTCCCAGAAAACACTCCCCCCCAAACATAAGCTGACTGCTCAGGGATGGTATTACATGAGTGACAAAGAACTTGAAAGATTCCCTTAGTGGGGGACCCTGAGTCAATGTCATTCTCAAACTGAGATTCTTTTTAAAATATTAATCATTCCAGCTCTCCCAAACTGTGTAAACATTTGGACCCATCAAAAATATGTACAAAAGGAAAGTCTGGAACTATTTTTTGAAGAACCTTCTTTTGTATCTCATGGTCAATGGCATCCTTTCAGCCCTGCTGGGTTTCTGGGGCTGCAGAGAGCAGTCTATCTGTGTGCATTCATAATGATGGACTGGAATAGCCTGCAACCATTCCTAATTCTGCATGATAGGCATAAATTGTGCTTCATGTTATTGGAGTGATTAATAATCCAGCACAAAGCAAGGAAATACAATTCTGTGCAAGGTTACTGTCCAACTCCAGTCATAACTGCATGCTCCTGGTCAGCACAAAGCATCTGTCTTCCAGGAACTACTGCCCATTCCCAGGTCCTGTTGTGGTTACCCAATAAATATCCCAGAGATGTTTGGTTGTTTCAGAATGAATATCCATAGCGCAATAAAAATGTTAGGTTCTTAACTGGTTCAGCTTTATGGGACACCTTAGGAACTAAAAGAAAGATTAGAAATGGAGATGCAAATATGGCAAAGGAAATACCTTTGCTCTTTTAGTATTTCCTGGATGCTGCCATTCTGACGTGTGTTGGCGTTCATGATCCCCCACATTCACCTGCTGCTCCCTTGTAAGGAAGGCTTTCTAAATTTTGTTGAGCTTTCTTGAGGTAGAATTGACAAAACTGTACTATATTTAAAGGGTTCAAAGTGATGATCTGATACACATATACATTGTGAACGGATTCCCTCCATTGAGTTAATCGACACACTCATCACCTCAGATATTTGCCTTCATTTATTTATTTTTTGGTGAGAAGAATTAAGTTCTACTTCCACAAATTTCAGTTATATAATACATATTGTCAACTATATTGACCATGTTATATGTTAGATCCTCAGGCCTTATTCCTCTTATAACTGAAAGTTTGTACACTTTTACCAACCTCTCCCTGTTTTCCCCACCCCCAGTCCCTGGCAACCAATTTTCTACTCTCTGTTTCTATCAGTTTGACTTTTTTTTTTTTTTTTTTGGTTCTTATTTCACATAGCATAATGCCCTCCAGGTTCATCCATGTTGTCATAAATGACAAGATTTCCTTCTTTTTAAAGGCCAACTAATATTTTAGTGTGTATGTGTGTGTGTCTGTGTGTGTGTGCATCTATGTAAGTGATGGACACTTAGGTTGTTTCCATACCTTAGCTATTGTGAATAATGCTGCAGTGAATGTGGGAATATAGATATCTCTTCAAGATAATGGTTTTGTTTCCTTTGGATATATATCCAGAAGTGAGAATGCTGGATCATAGGTAGTTCTATTTTTACTTTTTTGAGGAAACTCCATACTATTTATCATGGTGGCTGTACCAGTTTACATTTCCACCAGCAGTGCACCATGGTTCCCTTTTTTCTACATCCTCACCAGCATTTTTTATCTCTTGTCTTTTGATAATAGATGTCCAAACAGGGATGAGGTGGTATCTCGCTGAGGTTTTGATTTGCATTTCCCTGATGATTAGTGATGTTGAGCTCCTTTTCATGTGCCTCTTGGCCATTTGGATGTCTTTGGGAAATATCTGTTCAGGTCTTTTGCCCACTTTTTAATTGGGTTGCTTTTTGGTATTAAATTGTATGAATTCCTTGTATATTTTTAGATATTAACCTCTTCTCAGATATGTGCTTTGCAAATATTTTCTCCTTTTCCCTTTGTTTGTGCTTTCCTTTGCTGTGCAGAAGCTTCTTAGTTTGATGTAGTCCCACTTATTTATTTTGTTTCCGTTGCCTTTGTTTTTGGTATCAAATCCAAAAAATCGTTGTGAAGACTGATGTCAAGAAGCTTGCCCCCTATGTTTATGACCATTATTTTGAACTCTCTATCAGGTAAATTGCTTATTTCTATTTCATTAAGATCTGGTTTTGGAGATTTATCTTGTTCTTTAGCTTGAAATATATTCCTCTATTTCTTCATTTTCCTTGACTCTCTGTGCTGGTTTCTGTGCATTAGAGAAAACAGCTACCTCTCCCGGTTTTGAGTGGTAGGTCTTGTGTGGGAGATTGACCTTGTCATTCAGCCTACCCTGGGCTCCTAGTTGCCTCTTGAACTTTTATGATTGTCAAAGCAAATTTCTTTGTTGGGCGCCTGGGTGGCTCAGTTGGTTAAGCGACTGCCTTCGGCTCAGGTCATGATCCTGGAGTCCCGGGATCGAGTTCCGCATCGGGCTCCCTGCTCGGCGGGGAGTCTGCTTCTCCCTCTGACCCTCTTTCCTCTCGTGCTCTCTCTCTCTCTCTCAAAAAAAAAAAAAATCTTAAATAAAAAAAAGCAAATTTCTTTGTTCTTAGTGGTTCCCAGTATTTGAGGGTATGTCAAGACCTGCCTGTGTCCCCAAGGGAAGATTGTGGTCAGCACCTACCTAGATGCAGCCTGATTAGAAGCCAGACCCTTAGGCAGCAGCTGGGGAAGTATGTAATTAAATCCCTGCCAGGGAGAAACTAGGAGATGGAAGTTTGGTAGGGGGGCCCAGGGCTCCAAGGGCACCTGGCTCTGGGGATCCTAAACAGACCAGGTTTGGCCACTTGCAGCTGACAAAATCAAAGGCAGGGAGATGAGTGCTGGTGGAACAAGAAAGGAATTTATTTCAGTGAGGCCGACATTGGGAAGACTGCAGACTAGTGTCATTGACGGTCTCCAAGTGCCAAAGATACTTCCAGGTTGATATATAAAAAAAAATGATGGACACAGGAGGGCAGTAAATGTCAGGTTGATCATTGTCTTGGAGTCAATCATGGGCGGGGTCTTGCTGGCTCAGGACAGTCCTTATTGCTGGATGGGGTAGTTTCCTTCCCATCACGGGATGCTTTGCTCCAGGATATTTTGCCTGAGTTAAGAGGTAAGCTGGAAAGAAGAACTTAATCAATTAGAAAGTTTGAGGTCGAAATGGAGGTAATGGAAGTCCTTTTTCAGTTTTTGCCTGCTTCCTCTCTTTTCGGCCAAGTGGATAGCTGGGAAAGTGCTCTGGTGCTTGTTAAGAACTGCTTCTTTGTTCCTACAGTCCTGTAGGACTCCTGAATGTAAGCACCATTGGTATCAGAGCCAGGAGACTGGGGGCCTTCCCTTGGGCTGTAGCCACAAAAGCTAGGGTGTCAGACTTGTGTATGAGCTCTTTCCAGGGAGATGCTGGTGACTTGGTTTTATGATTGGAACAGGCTGGAGGGAGAAGGCCGGGTTAGTTGCCGGCTCCCCTGCTCTCTGGGGAAGATTGCAGGCAGCCACTAGATGGGTGCTAAATTAGAAGCCTGGCCCTGGAGGCTGCATCCTTTAAAGTATGCAGATAAACTCCTGTCAAGGAAAGAATGGGAAATGGGTGTTTTTGCCTGCTTCCTCTGCAGTGAGCCTTGGGGGGATAGCTGTGCTGAAGGCTTGCCTACCCATGAATTACTGCTTGCTTCCTATATAGTTTTTGGGTTCTCATGGACCCCAGCCCTTTTGGCTTTAGAGCTAGACATTTTAGGGGCCCATCTCTGCAGTGGGGGTCTTAAAGTGGGACTCTAGATGTGCTGTCCAAACCCTTCCCTTCTTAGGGAGAAGCTGGAAGTTGGGGCTTTCCTTCCAACTGTATGTTGCTGCACTGGGGGCGGGGGTTATGGCAAGAGTATGTCTCAGCCCTTCCTACCCATTTTCCTGTGGGTATTTTCCTCATTTGCTGGAGGTGTAGGAGTGACTTAGCTAGTTTCTGGATATCTTTCAGAGGGAATTCCTCCATACGCAACTGTATATTCAATGTGTTTGTGGAAGGAGGGGAGCTCAGGAGCCTCCTAAGTCTCCATCCTGGTCAATTTCCATTCCAGGTTAATTAAGGGATCAAGGCTTTGTCCCCATTCCCCTGTTGCAGGAAGGACTGCAAAACCCCAGGCTTCACTTGTTGGTCCCTGGGGCCAGGAAACTACTGATGGCTAGTGGCTGTGGCAGGGCCTCTAGTGGGGCAATCAGAGGGCAGCGATACTGTTAGGAATTAGTTGGACAGTTGGGTAGTCAGGGCCAGGGCTCCCAATTACAGTGAAATGAAAATACGGAGTTGGGCCAGCTAAGACAAAACAACACTGCCATTCTGTTTTACAGCTTAGACAGGATGGACCCCACTAGCATTCTGCTTTGCAGCCTTTGCAGAAATGACTTCTGCAAAACGTCCTCAAATAAGGCAACTAACCACAAAACATTTGTCAGTATCACGGGCAAGGGGCAGTTAAGACATAAGCCCCAGATATATGACGAAAGCCCTGCTTGGCACAACTCAGCACACCCTGATTGCTTAAAATAGTTCTGCAAAAGAGTTCATAAAACCCCCTAAACTTAGAAACTCCAAGCGTGACACTCCCGGGTCCCCTCCCTCTCTGGGAGCTTTATATTATTGCTCAATAAACTTTGCTTTGCTGCCCACCACTCTTCATCTGGTCTACCTCTTTCTTCATTCTTCGAAGGGGCATGACCAAGAACGGGGTGGGGGTGGGAAAGCAGCCAAAGGCAGAGAAAATCCTACAACAATACTCTGGCTGGTACCCACGTCCTGGTCTCCACTAGTGGGCCTGCAGAGGGCTTCAGAGTTACTCATTTACTGGATCAAGGGCTTTCTATATTTGTTCCTTAAAAAATCATTAACTAAACCATATATCCCTTATCCCTGAAGTGAATAGTAATAATTAAATGCTTTCACTCCTTCCTTTATTGATGTCTGCTCAGTA